TATAGGGAAATAGAAAGGTATAAAAGAGATGACAGGCTAGGAGGAATATGAGATAGAAAGAAATAGATAAATGGGTAAAAGAGATAGAAGAGAAAAATATTAGAAATGAATAGAAATTAGAACTGGAAGTACAAAAGAGATGGCAGGCTAGGCGGGATATGAGACAGAAATAGATAATTAGGATGAAAGAGATGGAAGGAAAAGTGAAAAATGAGACTCATTTCTCCATTTACTTCACTCATATCTGGTTGTTCTCTCTTCAAATTACCAGCAGCTGAGATTACCGTCTTTACAGCACGCATACCAAAGTCGTAATGATCCTGACAAAACAAAGCTGAGTCAATAATGTATTCAAAAAAAGAAGATAAGTTTCCGTGTGAAATCATCGCTTCCATTTGGGCCGTAGGAGCAGATCAAATTGACGCCCCAAAATGATTGGACGCGCAATCTTCTTAAAAGTAATCTAGTAGAAAATTACAAATTTTAAGCGAGAATTCATTGAATAATGCCGAGAGATGAGTATATCGCGCTAAAGTAACCCTTGATTTCCGGCACAGTTTGGGATAGTAGGACTTACTTGTGAGCTAAGCTGTTCAGATGATAACTTAAATGTGGTAGTGATTTTCTTGGCTAGTCCTTTAGCTTCTGAGAATCCAAAAGAGAATAAGCTGATCTCTGCGATGAGTGCATAGTCTGGTACCATCATAGCTACAGGACGAAACAAGGCCTGGAGGGAAATCAAAGCAAGCAGAACCATCACTATATTATTCAATTAATCTCTTTTAATCACGATCACGATCATGTATCATTATATATTCTCATCATAATGTATCATTGTCATCATGCACTATCTTCATCAGACATCATCATATATTGCAGCACTATCACGTATCATCGTCATCAACATGTATTTTCATCATCATCACCATCATCATCATTGCATCATCATCACGTATCATCATCATCATGAATTAATAATTTATTTACTTATTATTATCATCGTCGTCGTCATCAACATGTATTTTCATCACCATCATCATCATTGCATCATCATCACGTATCATCATCATCATCATGAATTAATAATTTATTTACTTAATATTATCATCGTCGTCGTCATCAACAT